GTGCTTCTCTGTTGCAGCATGGTGGTGTGAATGTGTTGCTCCGGCAGGAGCTGCGGTGTGGCTGGTATGGTGCTCGTAGCAGGTCTGGCCTGGTGTTTAGGGGAGAAGTGGTGGCTGGACAATGCAGCGGTGGTGCCCTGCTGGGTTGGTGGTTCGGTGGAGTTGCGTGAGTGGAGAAAATGGAGTAAAATAAAACTAGTGATGTATATAAGCCAAACAATCAACATATCAGTTAATAAATGTCTGATATCAGTTAATATTAGGGACATATTAGACATTAATAAAAACGTATTAGCCAACAAAAGATACATATCAGCCAACAAGGGGAATATATCAGCCAACAAAAGATACTTATCAGCCAAGAGACGGAACATATCAGCCAACAAATGAATCATATCAGCCAATAAAAAGATGAAATCAGCAAACAAAAGTAACAGGTAAGCCAACAAAATAAACACATCAGCCAACATAATGAAACATATAAGCCAACAATTAAAATATACATATCAGCTAACAAAATAAATATATCAGCAAACTAAAGTAACATATAAGTCACATGATGTCAGATATCAGCCAACAAAAGGAAAAAAAAAAAAAACACATATTAGCCAACAAAAGGAATGTATTAGCTAACACAAAAACCATATCAGCCAACACATGAAACATATTAGCCAACAAGTAAAATATATCAGACAAGCCTCCCACACCAAATTTACGTGCGAACGTCCGCACCCAATACCTTCTTTATAAAATTTCAAACTTTGAAGAAGTAGTAAATAATGCCTCAAAACATCTAGATATTTAATTTGACAAAGCAATTATTTATGCCCATATTCGTCTAATGATATGTCAAATCGGTTTAAGGGTTTGTTTAATTTTTTTATTTTTTAAATTGAATTATTGTAGGAACTAACAGTAAATTAATGCAAATCAAATTCCGGTGAAAGTAAGGTTCCAATTGGGGGTAGTAAATAAGTTTTCTAGCTCTGCGATCCATTTATGCTGGGAGGGACTTCATGCAAAACCAACTAGGGTTGTTTTGGGAGCGAATTAAGGTTGCGGCCAATTGACATAATACTAATATAATATATAGATGGAGTACGGGATATAATTTTAGGTTGTTTGGAAAAATTGTCACAATTTCTAGCATGTTTATAGTTTGTGATTAATTATTACCACCATACCATTCATATCATACCCATAGATTGATTAGTGTGTTAGGATATGAGTATAGTGCAATTTTAGATACAGAGGTCCAATAGAGTGAATCATAACTCAGGTGGTTAGAGCTTCTTTTTGTAATACTACTATATATGAATATTATTTATGATGAATTGAAATAATATGACTAATTATATGAGAATTTTGGGAATCAAAAGAGCCACCGAAAGACCATTTTAAATGTTTTAAAAAATAAGCAGCTTTGATCATGCATAATTTTATTCAACAATTTATTAGAAGTATTACAATCTGTCACAGATTATAAAAATGAAATAAATACTGAATTGTACTAACTTCTTGGAGATGCTGATCGCAAACGTAGCACAATGATCAGCACACATTTTTAATTTTTTTTTTTTTTTTACTTTTATTTTATCTTGAACCTTTTTATTTTTGTTATATAAATTCTTCCTGAACTTTAAAAATACGTAGAATTTAAAAAAAAAAAGAATAAAAAAAGAAAAAAGAAAAAAAAAATCCAAATAAACTAATAGTTGAATAATTGATCGAATGCGAATGTCACTTGCCAATCATTTCTGAACAGATTATTGTCTTCTCGATAAAACAATGGTACAACTTCTATACAAGTATAAATAAATGTTAAATTTTATCAAATAATAATAATAACAAAACGTTAGACTTCAAAAAAAAAAAAAAATAACAAAACGTTAAAAAAAATGAGACAATAAAGGGAGGAAGGCATGATGGGAAAACAAGTAGATAGCTTATCATCAAGTTGTATTAGGAGTAAATTAAGCTTCAATATATAAAAGTTTGCACTCTCTGATCACTATATTTATTTTCACTTAAATAAGTTTTGATAAAATAAATTAAGAAAAAAAATACTAGTATTACTAAGCTACCAATTTCAATTTACAACTAGAATAAGTTAGCTAGGTAAATAGAATGTACGTTTACTATAGTGAACTATTAATTTTTTTTTTTAAAATGAACTATTTAAATTATGAGTATTTGATAATCACTTTTGTTTCGGGTGTAGTTTTGGTGAGAGTCGTCGAACCACTGACGGCATGGCTAGGTCTTGGGTTGCCTTGCTGGGGTCTCGAGCTGGCGGCCGGAACCTCTGGCCAGTTGGCAAACCTGCAAGAGAGAGAACGTAAACCTGCCCTCGGGGGTGGCTTCGAGGAACCCCCCCTCCGATGGCTAAGTAAGTGTTTGCCTTTTTTGAGAGAATAATAAGCTTAATGTGCTTTTTTATAGAGAGAGAAAAAAATATATTTCAACAACCTTTTCTTATGGTGAGTCTAGGGGATATTTATAGTGTATCATAATCCTAGCCTAGGCGGTCAGTGGCCGACTTATGGTGCTTCTGCCCAAAGCCTCTAACTTGCTTGAGCCTCTGCCTTGCTTGAGCCTCTGCCTTGAGTCTGAGCCCGGAGATCTAGGTTGGGATGAGAGCGCGCCTCTTGGACAACACTTGGAGCACAGGGCAGCTCAGCAGGAGCTACCCTATACAATTTTTATGTGCCTTCTACAACTTAAAGAAATATTATTAAGTAAAATTAGTTTTGTTTTAGTAAAAACTAAATAGTGTTGCCCAATACAAGTGACTTCTAATAATGATAATTAGCTGTAATATTATTTTAATTGGTATAAATCCGTACTAATAATTCTTTTTGGGCAAAATCCTTTTTACTTTTGATGCCCTAGGATGAAAAGTATTTCAATTCAAATTAATTACTTAGTTAGGGTAAAAACCCTTTAATACATAATCCTTAGTATGTTATTTGTAAAAACTTAATTAATCCATATATATGAGACTAGTTTCATCACAATTGACAACATTTTGGTGCAATTACAAGTACTTATTTCAAATTTAAAGTGGAAGTTAAACTGTGATTTTAAGAAGATTGATTTATTTATTTAGGGGTCAATTGTTATATAATACTGGTTGAATTTGTTACATACAAAGTAATTATTATATAGGCTAATACGAGGCATGCGTTTCACCATACTCACCTGTAAGACTTTAGGATTATTTCTTTTTTCATCCCCTCAATCTTGGTAGTAGTTGGACTTCTTATTAAACGTTACTTGCATTAAAAACGGTGACCTCTCTACCATAGTAAAACTAAGATTTCCAATTTCACTCTTTTTGTACGATTGCTACTAGTAATCTAGTATGTATGTATAGCTTTTCTTAATAGTTCCACTTTCCCTAGCTTAATCATTTCTATTTAGTACTTACCACTACCAAAATCCCCTTTTCTAGTACAGAATTTATTGTCATAACTAAAAACTTTAGTTTTTAACCATCCATTTTTTTACCTCCCAAATGTGTTGGGATTTGGGAGAGAAATTTGTGTTAAAGTAATAAAAAGAAGAGGGGCATCATAGTCTTTTCATAGTGCCATATGCTATGTTTGGCTAACTTGGGATGGAGCAAACTAGACATGAGTTTCAGTTTCATATTAGGATGATTATTATTATGGCTGCAATATATTTGTATTGACACTTTTTAATTCATATTCAAATTAATGTAAAGATTTTATTTGAAAATAAGAAAGAGAAATGAAAATCATGTAATCTTGAAAAAAAAAAAAAAAGCAATTTAATAGCATGGAAAATAAAAATAATGTTCCCAAAAGAGTTAAGATATATGACAAAGTACCTTATATAAAAGTTGTAATTTTATTATAAACATTTGAAATAGAGAAATGATTTCATTAATTTGCTAAGGAGGGAGTATTTCCTTGTGCATGTGTATGATTCATGCCCTTCCCTATTAAAATATATAGTTACGTCAAAAAGGTGCATTTTTATAATTGTTTTAAACCATAATTAATTACTAAGCTAGTTTTGCTACAGTAATTTTAATTTGTTTTGTGACCAGTGGATTATTATACCTTTTGGATTAAAATTTAATAGTTGATCTTATTACTCTACCGTTAGCATTTTTGAAGTCATAATTTTAGATAATTCTTTGAATCTATAATGTGTAACACAGAATCTCGTATAGTATGCAACCAATCTACAATATACGAAGTAGCTAGTAATTAATGTAAACTTGAAATTATTTTTGTATGAATTGTCGTCCTTTTGTTGTTAAATTAAAATTGGAATTTTCTAAGTAAACTTCTAATGCTTTGAGGTACCTAAAATTCACCCTTTTGTAAAATGGCTTTGTGGTGAATGACTGAATGCTAAGAGAAAGACACTCCATTAATTACATTTAAAACCACATAGTTACCCCTTATTTAATAAAATTCAATTGTAGACACAACATTAAATCACTTAATTACCCTTAATTAATAAAATTAGTCAATTATTTTCTTCCAATTAATTGCATTCAAAACACTAGACATTCATTATATGTTCGGTATTTACTACCACACGTGACACGGCCACACCTACATTGTAATTTCACTAGTAATGTGTCGGCTAAAATAACCAACTTGATACTATATACGTATAGTATAGTATGTCTCACTGAAGAAGCTAGCTAAGCTAAGAGATATCACGTGCGCTGTATCCTACCATCACTTCCCTAGTCGGCTAAAATCTAATAATAACATTAAAATTATATTTTATACGGACGTTTTCACGTGTACTTAATATTAGAGGTGCAAATTATATAACGAATATAAATTTAATTTTGACAACCCATAAAAGGCTATTGGAGTATACATACGTCAAACCCTAATCATATGTCCTTGAATAGAAAGATCATAATGTGTTAGAAATTATGCATAGGGTGGTAAGGCCACCTTTTTAAGCACTTCATTAAATAGGGTTTGCAATTCATTCTCTCCTCTCTTTTTATTATTTTCTCCACTCCAAAATAACATAAACCTTCATTACTCATGTCATGGACATCAACCACATACATAATAATAAACTCCCCATAAACCACAACTCCACCATCATCAATTGGGATAAAGGCCTTAACCTTTCCATGGACATGGATGATCATCATCATCATCATCATAATCATCATCAACAACATGTTGATGATCATCATCAACATCATAACCATCATGTTCATCCATTTATACATGATAATAATCCGGTATGGCAAACCTACCATAATCTTCCTACACCACACTCATCTCAACCCTCCATTCCATCATCATCATACATCATCAAACCAACACCTCTACAAGAACAAATAATATTAGAGGAAGATGAGCATGAGTTTGAGGAAGAAGAGGAGCTAGGAGCTATGAAAGAAATGATGTACCGGATTGCGGTTATGCAACCCGTGGATATTGACCCGGCAGCTATCCGTAAGCCTAAGAGAAGGAATGTTCGGATCAGTAATGACCCGCAAAGCGTGGCGGCCCGACATAGGAGGGAACGGATATCCGAAAAGATTCGGATCCTCCAACGGTTAGTGCCCGGCGGTGTTAAAATGGATACTGCCTCTATGCTTGATGAGGCTATTCGTTATGTTAAGTTTCTTAAGAGGCAAATCCGTCAACTTCAATCCGGATCCTACAATCACCAACCACCACCACCACCCGTCCCCACCTTGTCGCCTTCCGATTGGCCACCGCCTCCCTCGGCCTCAGCCTCGCTCTTTAGTCCCTACTCCAGCACCGGGAGCTCTAAAGTGGTGCTTATTAGGGATAATAATAATAACGGTAATCATCATGAGGGGATGATTTTTCAACACGGAGGTAATTAATTGATTGATTAGTTTAATATCAAAATTGATTTTATATATAATCCCTAGGGTATGTATGTACGTTGCATTGTTGTAATAGATAAAATCATTAGCATTATTATTATTGGGAAATAACTATGATGCTATTGTCAATAATTAAACAATAAGTAGGGCTAGCATTATAGTTAACTCAAAATTGTTCTATTGACATGTACTCGTATGTATGTATCTATGTACATGTGTATGTATGAGCTTATATGTGCGTGTTTGCATACGTGTATTATTGTATATATACATGTACTTGTCGAGATTAATTAAGCTTGTTTAATTATACTAAGATCACGAATTTACAATCTAGTTAATTTGTATATTTGGACAATGCATGTGAGAATTTAAGAAAAACATAATGAAGAAAAAAAGTTTGTTAGGATATGATTGACCAAGATATATAGGCGCCAAAAATAATGGTCATAGTACAGTTAGTTTCAGGCTATGAAGATTGGTCCGTCTACCTTTATTCATGGCAAAATATATAATATAATCATATAAATGTATAATATAAGATCAAATTGAGATTGAGAATATATATATAAATATAGACTCACTACATATACGTATGATATGTAACAAATTAAGTGTCTGCAAGTTGCCGGAAAATGAGTTCTCCGGGAATAAAATTTAGTGACGTGAGACATTAATTTATTTATTTTAGTTTATAAAAAATGAATTATACTATATAGACTATAGTAGTAAAATATATAAAATTTGGAAAAAGATAATGATGAAAACTATAGTATAAAATAAAAATACATGAGCATGCAAAGAAGAAACGCACGCTATGATAAGAGGGAGAAGAGAGATGCATGAAAATGAGAATGGCTGGTTGTGAAAAGATTACGTGTGGAGAGTTGCACTGCAACCATTTGTACATCATCCTTTAAATCATTACATTATTTAATGGCTCATCACACCCTTGTCACTCCTACTTCTTTCTCTTGCCTTTTTTTTTTTTTTTTTTTTTCCCTACTATTTTAATTTCCCCATATTTTCTCTATAATTTGAGGGGTTTTTTTTTTCAGTTTTCTTTTGATTTAAAATTTGGTTTACAATTTTGTTCATATTATTGTTTTTTGTTTGAAAGTTAGTATATGATTGAGTGCTATATGGTCATAGAGTATTGGACTGGAATCGGTTAATTTGCCTAATTGTTATAGTTACTCTGTATAAGACAACATAGTTTTTAGATTGTTGATGAATTTGTTTGGTATCACTATTATTTTAGCATTTTTAATGTTAAGATTTAAATATTGTACGATACAAGTTCATTGTGTGTATAATGACATTTTGAATTAGATTATATGCACTATAAACTACGAGGAGTCATTAAATTATTTTATTTTTATTTTTTTTAAAAAAAACGGTCATACTAAAGTAAAGAGATTATTTCATCAAATCAACTTTTAATCCAATATGCAAACTATAAGTAAAACTAAGCTAGTAACGGTTTATACCTTAGCTCAATTTATTCCTTTTGGATAATCTTAGTCAAAAGATAGTGAATGTTTGATAAATCGATCAAACTTTTCAATTGAATCATTTCCTTGCATGATTTTGGCAAGAGAATGATGAAGTTTGCTCCAATTTATAAACTCATTCATCCAAAGTTATGTACTTGTTTCTTTGACATTCTTATAACAATTGTACCATGACTTATAATTTACAATATAAAAAATTTCTCTAGTATGTATGGAGTTAGAATTTAATGGTATATAGTTCTAAAATTAGCTTAAGACCCATACAGTCCACTAAAGAAATGTAACAGTTTGTTTCATGATTTTAGCCATTTTTCTTTGTCTTAGTATGATTGTCTACTTTATAGTCAAAGATGCATTTTTTTCATGTACAACTTTTTATCAAAATATAGCTCAATTTTTAAGGAGTATATTCTTATAGTATCAATTTTACTCAATTTTTTGTAATATTTATTTTATGTACTAATAAATTATTGTGCATTAAATACTTTATGAATTCCAATTTTATGTTCAGGAAAAAAGTAACATGCATTTTGCAGTGTATACATGTTTTTAATTCAACAAAGTAAATCTGAGTTAAAATGCTTGACTTTGATCTGGCTTGATTGAGTCAGTGTTCAAGAATTTGAGGCTTTCCTTGATTTTGTTTAGCTCACGGGTCTGAGCTGTAGGTATTGACCTTTTACAAGTTGTATTTATGGCTAAAATTTTGAAGTGTTGGAACAACTTTATATCATCTTGAGTGGCGAGCCGGCGAGCCCCTCTTCGGGTCTCAATAATACCTCAAAATCACTATTATATTTCTCGTGAATTTTAATGACTGTTTTGAATTAAATTATCCAAATTTAGACTCGATTTAATTAACCTATAAATATGTAAAATTATGAAGTATCTTGGTTTGTAACTGCTAATCTAGTACATGAGAACTTGATTTCTAAATAGTTCGAAACTGAACTGAATTGGACACTTACCTAAAATGACCCAAACTTTGAGTTTTTTAATTCAAAAGGAGTCATTTATCATGTCACTAGAGCAGCAGAGCTTGTAGTGCATGAATCAATATTTGCAAGTCATGCTAAACCTAGTTATCTAGTACATGATTTGTAAGTGACGAATCATACTTCGTATATAACTTTAATGACATAAAATAAAATATATCACCACAAGAAATTAGAGAGATCATTATATAATAGATTGGACCAATTGATGAACTAGAAGTTTAGAATAGTAAGTCGATCAATTACTAATCAATATTAACTTGACCTCAAGAAACACAAAAATCTTGATTTAATCTTTGTGTCACTTGATAAATACCTAAATCAATAGCTCTACATATGCATTGACTTGAAAAGTATGTACTAAACCCAAACCAGACCAAACCTATTGTATGTACTATGTAGACCTTTATAAGAACAACCTTTTATTTTCACCCTTACATACTCATGTACCTCACGAGGTACTTTTTTTAATCCTTTAGAGAAGTTGTAATGATGTTGGATATAAAACAAGATTAGTCATATATATACTTATCACTTAAAGAAAGATTAACATCACTACATCTCTACATCATTATAAATAATAAATAAATGAAGGAGAAACTATATTTGTATAACTTTCACGTGCTAATGTAAGGCAACAAGTATTTTCTATTTCCAATTCCAAAAGTGTAAACTTATGAGACACTACTTTAATTAAGAGGAATAATTTACAAGTAGCATATACTTGTATATTACTTGTAATTTTATAAAGCAAATCCCTACATAATTTAAGTTTAGGCAAGTGATGAATCTATGAGTAAAATCCAAGGTATTGGTTTTTTGGGTAATCGAAGGCATGTATTTGTCTCCCTTTAACTGGAAGTTTGTTTCTTCAAGATTGCACACATGACATCATCCACGATGCCCCTTTGTAATGTGATAGAATTCTCAACAAAAAATTTTGATTGCAAGTCGTTGAACCCTAAGCTTACTCAACATCTAGTATAACATTTTTGGAGTTGTAAGAGAGCAATCATTTTTACCATCCCCATTGTAACTTGCCCGTTCCTACGAGTTTGATTCTGATAGCATGATCCCCTTATACATAGGGCTATATATTCCATGAGGAAAAACCAAAAATTTACGCTGATGCTATGTTAGAAGACCAACTCAACCAAAAGCCTAACTTAATCGCTCAAATTCGCTTACCAAACTCATGAAAGAGATCAGTATTGTGATATTATCATTTTCTTAATCAATATCTATCTTACATTTATAAATTGAATTAGTATGGTACTTGATCCATACTTAAATTTGCTTCTTGTAAATTTCCACCGTCTTTAAGTCAAAATTGTGACAATATATTTTTTTGAACCAAACAATTATTCTACCATAAAAGTGGTAAGTTAAGAATACAAGTTATACAACTCAAACAGATTAGAATGTGTTCAACCATGCAAGTTCAATATGCCATTTATGGTGGTAGAAACACAACCTTTCGGATTTTTGACCATTAAGTTAATTTCAGACAAATAAAATTCTACCTGAACGCAAAACTGCAGAAGTGACCACACCTATCAGGCATAGAAGATGATTAGATGGATGTGTTAAAACTTCATTTAGTTACACTCATATGTAATGAATTTCCATAAACAAAAACAGCTATATTGTTCGATCTTGATCAATAGAGGTATTTCCATAAGGCTATACCACTTGCACTTGATCACGAGTCCAAAGTCGAAAACTGTCCAGCATTCTGTGCTAGCAAAACATTCTTGAGTGGCATACCGCCCAAAACAATATATGGCTACCTCAAAGAAAAATGCCAAACTAACAAAATCAAATTCATAGATTCATCTCATACATTACAAGCTAGCTAATTTATCTAAAGAGCAAAAATTACATGCAGAAAAAGGGTTACCTCCAATGCATAAAATGAATGTACAAGAATTTTAAAAGACTCAGCTACCACTAATATGGTACAGGAAAATCATATTCAATACAGCAATCCATTAGTCAGATTTAGCTCTTTTGATGTTTCCCCACGTATGCCTGCAAGAACACAAATTAGGTTCAGTTGAGTTTTGCTAGCTTTCGCTTCTATGAAAGAGATTCTGCAATATCTATGATAGCAGGATCTAAAGGTGCAAATTTGAAAACAGAAACTCACCTGTACAAGTTTGTCAATTTTTTGCTTTGAGCACGACAGATACATGTCAATTTTCTCTTTCGTTTGAGGAATTTGAGGCCCTAATGTCTCCGTAACTTTGTCAACCACTTTTTTCACTATTGTCTTGTAGGCATCTTTGCTTACATGACCATCCTTCCATGAAGGCTTTAAAAGCTCCTTCACAAACTCTGCTAATGCAAATTTGAATTGACGGAGTCCCTTTGTATCTTTCAACTTTTTATCGTCATCAGCTCCATCATCTGCACCCATATCCTGGGAAGGCCCATTTTCCAGAGCCTTAATTATTCCTTCATCTGTTGTTTTGCCATATTTCTCATCCTTGGATGCTGCAACAGGCTCTTGCTGAGTCACATTATCCTTGTGATGTATTTCATTCTTAGAGATGTTCTGCTCAACACTAGGCAATACATGATTACCCAAGTTTGCCATCTTTGGCTCAACACTATTACATACAGGATCATATGGCTTTAGTGCTTCAGGAGCTTGATTGAGCTGGATTGTTGCAGCAGAAACTGGAGGAACAGGTTCTGCTATGTCAGGTGAGTTAGACAAACTACAGGGAGTAACAGCAGTCGAAAACTGAGAATGCTGCTGCCTGCTTTCAAGTAGTTGGGTCAGAGAAGCGGTGAGATGGGAGAGTTGTGCCAGTTGTTTGTTGCTTACAGAGCTATGAGCAGTAGCAGATTCTGGAGCAACTTCAGATGAAGCTAAACTGACCGCATGAGACCCATCAACCTTTTTATCTAAAAAGGCAGATGGATTATGCGAAACTTGCCTTTGCATTGCCTCTCCTTGAGAAAGATATGAAGGTGAAGACAACTGACCTTGTCCAGCATTCTGTAATGGGAGCGACAGCTGATTTTTTCCAGAGGAAGGAAGTCCTGGGAATGGCAGCTGAATTTGTCCAGGGGGAGGAGGTCCAGGGAGTGGCAGCTGATTTTGTCCAGGGGGAGGAGGTCCAGGGAGCGGCAGCTGATTTTGTCCAGGGGGAGGAGGTCCAGGGAGTGGCAGCTGATTTTGTCCAGGGGGCGGATGTGAAGAGAGTGACAGCTGATTTTGTCCAGGAGGAGAATGTGAAAAGAGTGAGAACTGACTTTGTCCAAGAGGAGATTGTAGAGGAATTGACAGCTGATTTTTTCCAGGAGGATGTGAAGGAATTGATGGCTGACTTTGTCCAGGAAGAGAATGTGAAGGGAGTGACAGCTGAGTTTGCCCAAGTGGGGAATTTATGTTTGTAGTAGGGTGAACATTGACACTATGATCAGACTGAAAATTACCTTGCCCTTGTAGGAGATTCAATGGTTGATTTTGAACAATACATGAGCCATCATGATCTCGAACATCACTCCTTCCCCCAGAATTCAACATAGGTTTTTTATCCTTATAATCTGGATTCTGGTCAGCAAAAGGATCATGAAATACTTTCTGTTCCTGTAATCCAGCTTGGTAATGCTTCTCATATGAAGCTTCTCCAGCCACATCTTGCTGAACAGCTGGAAAAGAAATGTTAGATGCAGTTTGTGAAGATGAAGAGTTCATGCCCTGTTGTTTGATATCCCGAGGAGAAATCTCCATATCACCAGAAAAATTTTCCGTCAAGCCAGGGACGTTATTTTCTATCTTCCACTGAAGTGCCTGCTTTTTGTCCTGGATCAGAGATTTGCCTATATTAGCCGATGTTTCTCGTGTTTGTTTTATGTCTAGCATATCATGGCTCCAACAATCATCCCCAGGTCTTGATCCAGTCATGTCTTTGGCCACTTCTGTGATCTCATTTTTATCATCTCCCCAACCATGCGCTGCAGGATTATTAGGTACTGTAGTAACATCACACCAACTTGGACCATCCCAACCTCGGTCACCCTCATATTTATGGTCTAGACCCCTCCCATCACCTTTATATCTTGCTGTACTCACTTCTTTCCTTTCATTCTTGTCCTCTCCCCAACCTTGCACTGCTGGAACAGTTGAAACAGCAGTCGCATCACTCCATCTTGAACCTTCCCAAACCTGGCCACCCTCACTTTTATGGTCTGGGCCGCGCCTATCACCTCGGGACCTCCTATCTGGACTATATATTTCCTGAACCTGATGAGAAAATTTGCAACGAGTTCCATTACGGCAATTTCCAGCAGCAAAAAACTTGCATGGAGTTTCACCTCTTTTAGGAGGCTCAAATTCATGATTTCGGTCAGGATAAGTATCCCTCCGTCTGTGGTCAAGATCACAATAGGTATCCCTACTTCTATGATCATGATCAGGATAGATATCTCTACTTCGAAGGTCATGATCCCGGTTCCTGTAGACATCTTCAACAACTCCTTTATCAAATACATCAGCAGCAGAATCATCATGCACATACCTGCACAAATCACCTCTTCTACACCTACCCTTCAAAAATTCGTTACAGATATGAGCAGATTTTTCAGTCCTTGTAGCACTGTCTTTGGTGTCATCAGGAGAATATCTTGAACCTCCAGTCTTTCGACGTCTACTTTCCCAATCTTCTGGTGAGCTGCATTCCAGTCGCCTATTATCATACATTTCATCCTGGTGAAGAAAATGGCAGCTACTCCCTCTCCTGCATCTTCCAGAAGAAAAATCTCTACATATTTGTGCTGGAACTCCAGATCTGCTTCTACTCCTATCATTCACTGCTGGCTCCCGTCTAAAGTTATGAGCTGGACTCTGGCTCCGGCTCCGGCTCCGGCTCCTGCTCTTACTAATCCTAGACATCAAACCAAATCTTAGGAGAAAAGGAAAAACCAATAAAGACCTTTAAGCAGCTAGCACAAGAAGCTGATAACAGAAGGGAGACATGAATCAAATGGTAAAGGGTAAACTACAAGTTTAAAGTGAATGATTGTCTACCCCTGTTTGAACATATTAACCACTTTGAAAAACCTAGTCTACAATATTTCATGTAGGATATAACAACAGAAAGACGAAACAAGAAAAAAAAAGTGCCTGTTAAATCTCTGGAAGAGAATAGGATATCAATCAAATTCTAATTACAAAATCCAAAGGAAACATAAAAAGAACAGGACAAATTGGCATCTTACAAGTCGTACCGGTGTGATCGACCCCAACCATTCCTCGGGGACCGACTTGAATGCCGAGGTCTCCATTCATCTAGTCCTGGAGAGATTCTTGTGCAATTTCCTTCTCTATCCCAAGTCATTGCGCTTTCTTTGCTGCGACTATCGTGCCTACGTGAACTTCTATCAGGTGAAAGAGGCTCCCTAGGCTGTCAATTGAAATAAGCATCTACACAGTCAGCTTAATATACCAAAAAATAACACCTCTAAGCAAGACCATTAACCTATTCCATCATGAAAAAAACTACCTACCCTCCGTGTCTGAGCCCTATCATAAAAATTTTCAGGTAGTGCTTCAGCATCTTTATGGTCCCATTTTGAATGGCGTCTCTTGCTACTTCCACTCATTTCTCCAGATAAAATAGCAGGATCTTGATTACTCAAATGTGAGCTCTGCAAGAATCATTGAAAGAATAAAAGGTTAGTTAAATAATTAAGATAATTCAAACATAAAAATGCTTTCATTGTAAAAAAAACTGTCAAGACAAGACCCTGACATATTAAGCAGAGGTATTCATTCGTTCTCAATCTGTCCATAAACGGAAGCAAACAAATATGGTTTTCAAATGATGTAAACTACCATCTAAAATCAATATCAATATAAATGTAACAAATTTCAAACTTATAAAACTTTGCAAGCAAGTCAAAGTTCGGTCACTAGCCCCAGAGTCACTTCCAGAGTTCGAGTTTAATCACTAATTCCTCTGTCCAGTTAAGAGACAGATTGGCTATACACTCAAGTGTGAAACATCCAAAAGGAATTAGCTTACACTATAAGCATATTTGACAAAGCGATCAGCATATCTTCCAACTGGCCAAACCAGTACACATTTCTGAGTCCCCTCTCTTCATATTATAGCGTATAAAGACAGCAAAAAAGAATGAAGAAAAAGTAAGTAAACAGATCTGCAAATGGGGTTCAAATGGGTTATTGTTCCTTCACGTGCTTGTACAATATTTTCTCAAAACTATTTAGTTTGTCAATCTCCTCAATTTACCTTCAATTGAAAGTTTGAAGCCCTGCATAAGTGCATATCAACAAAACTTAATCTTAGAAAGAGGTTGTACTGAATTACTGATAATAGGCTACAATGTCGGGAGAAAAAACAGAGCAATTTCAGCTGCTATATATGAAGCAGGCAAAAGGGATAACAAAGGCGAAAAGCACCATTTCCAATTAAATTCCAGTAAAGAGACACCTGCCTTTCTGTAAAATAGATGTTAAACAAAGAGGGCAAGTTGTCCTCGATAAAAGAGCAGCTAATGTCCCTCTCCCCGGTCTGCCCTCCTCAGAAAGAATAACTGAAACTGTGTCTCTAAAACGAAAGCCCTAGGATAGAATACTCAATTATAAAATTGAGTAATTACACCTTAATTTTGAATAAGCATCTTCTCATCAAGCATTGATCAGTCATAAGAGCCCATGAAGTGAATAATTAATATCTCGTATATTAATATCCATGGTTTGAAAATACGAATCCGGTTCAATATCACGTTGTCATGGGATGTGTTGATTGTAGACCGCATTGCAGCTGTCACAATACAAATTTGATTTCAAAGTCTTTTAGGATTTTACAATAGGGATACACTATTAAAGTAATTAGAATAGATTATAAGGAGCTTAAAGCCATTGGTGGGAAGACATAAGGAATCCTTCATTTGAGTTAAACAAAGAATTTGATGTTCATATGAGATTATGAGTTGTTGAACACCCCATGCTAAATTGAGTGATTTTGGTTTTGTTAATTGAAAACCTTTATAATACGGCTAACCTGAAATGAGACAAATGTATATTTGCACCATCCTAACATGCGGTTTCTTCTTCTTCTTCTTCTTCTTCTTTTTTTTTTTTTTTTTTAATGCTCTACTCAATTACTGTAAATACGCAATTTAAAAGAGTATCGAAAAATGTGCTTGGATGTAAGATAAAGGAGGTAAGATGATGTAAAAAGGTGGATTTGTGCAAGTAAATAATGTAAGTGGCTGTAGAAAGGTGTAATAATTGTCGGGTTGAAAGCCATGAAAGGGAAAGATGGTAGAAGGGATAAATCAAAAATAGAATGAAGTAAAGTGAGTGGAAAAAAAAAAAAAAAAAAAAAAAGATTAAAATGAAAAGTGAATAAAACAAAAAAGAATAGAGGGTGTACATAGGTGCATGATTTTGCATTTTCCAAAGATGGCATGCTGTTAGAGCTTATTTAAGTCATTTCAAAATTTATCTATCCTATTCACATTATAAATATTTTATTAGTAAAAATGAGTTTTCTTCATTTAAACACGATTTTAATCATTAATAACCATTAGTTTCAAACAACAAATATAACAATGAATTAGTAAAAATATTTTTAATCATTAAACATTAGTTTCAGTCAATGAAAACTAGTTTTAATTGTAAAATTAGTTTTTATTAAAGTTTAATTAATATTATTGTTAATTGTTAAAATGGGGCTTAATTGCATTAGCATTAATAGGAGAGCATCATTCATATATTGTATAAGATAAAATAATAATTACCCAACATTACACACTAATGTACAATTACAAGCCTACTAAATTTTTAAAAAAGTTGTTCTTTCTAAAAAAAAAAAAAAAAAAAAAAAAAAAAAGCATTACAATGTTTGAAGCATATCCAAATCATCCCTATTTCCTCATATTTCCCACCAATAATAGTGATTTATTCACATAGAAGCTACCTTGCCCCGTTTCTTTTCATTCTTTTCAACTTCTTCGAATAAGAGAAGCGACACGATTTCTAATATGACTTCATTAGACCTTCACCACGGCGCAATGAACGGACATTCCCATACAAGCACCACCAATAGCCAAGTCTGGCTTATTGCTAGTGATAGTGTACAATGATTTTGAATTACATTTGGTTATTGGAAAGTTTTGGGCACCCTCTTAAGCACACAAGGCCATTTACCAAAAGCAGACTTAAAATATAGTAGGCTTCTCCTGTAAGCCTTTGCAATTCTATACCCTCTTTATTGGAGTGCTACTCAAAGAATAATTCACTTCATCATTGATTCATGCTAAAACTTTATCCAGGTGCCATTGCTTTGTTAGCCTCTTCGTGAACGGTTTCCATAATAATGGATGGCTTTTTACATCCCAATCAACTTAAGCCAAGCATGGCCGAAGAGGAAATTATTTCACCAAGAGTGTTCATAATAAATGGCATATTCAACTTCATTCCCATGTACCCTTCCCCGTTGTTGCTTCACAACAAAACCATATCATTACAGTTTGTCAAACAACTTTTCTTCCTAATCTTGATATGCGGCCATTTACAATAAATTAAGACACCTTTTTATTGAAACCGATCACCTTATGCATCCATGTTCGGGCCTCCACTTTAGCTTCGAAACATTAGTACAGTATGATGTTGCTCGTATGACGTGTGAAGGTTTACAAGCTTGTAGAAAGGTCATTACTCCTAAGTTCAAAAAATAAACCAATCGACCGTCACAAACCAATATCGATTCAAATTTGGCGCCTCTCTCGATTCGATTGTCATTTCTCCTAAATAAGGACCCAATCCTTTGAGAGTAGGATGCTCCGAGATGGAAATGTTAGCCAACCTAACCATAACACTTCACTTTTTTTGTGTTCATTTCAATATGGGATAGGGGCTCCAGTCGCTCCACTTAGTTATTCCTCCATTACAACAAATTTATCATCAATATTAACCATATTAAGGTAGGAAATTTCAGGTTTAAAAAAAAAAAGGTAGGATATTGAGTTACTCAGCCTTTCATAATACGCCATCACTTTACTTCAAGCTACGGTCCATGTAACACAAATTAAGGCTTTACCCTTAACTAATTAATTCTTTTGTAAGCAAATTGATAGTTTACTTTCAAACTCAATTTCAACTCCCACATCAACCTCTCTATTCTCCTAGCATAATCGTTTAATAGTCCAAATCATTATTCACTCCATTTTCAATTTCTTTGTGAACTCGACCATTCGAAATGGGGAATATCATCATTCGGGAGTAGTGGAGATCTACAAACCTTTTGAAATAAAGAACTGTGAAGAAACCACCTAGGTGTAAAGAATTATTGCTACATTAATCTCCTCCAAAACTTACATGCTTTTGCCTTTGACAAAGGCTAAAAATGATCCAACAACCCATCCACCATAAGCAACAAATACTAATGCATGGATAAACCCCAAATCAACATCCCTTATACCAATATTAGTAAAATCTCCAAAGATATAATAGGTCGTGTTCTTTTAAGCCTCTGAGAGTGGAGTAGAGCAGATCTCAACAGGTCAACACAATAGAACAAAGCAGCTTATTGAGAGCAAAAAGCAGACCACAACAAATCAAAAGAACAGGGCTTTATATGTAACCTCCATTTTTATTAAAGTTCCTCTCATATGCTTTGTGTTCAATTTGCATTTTCGCGTAAGATATTCATTTACACCCAAACACCGCAAACTCGTTGCGAGTCCCAAGCCTAGATACAGGAGGGAGTTAGGTCGGTGATAGTGTAAAACTTTATCACATCACCTGACATGAGCCACAATGATTAAGAGTAGTACTAGGATGGGCAACCTCATGGGAAGTCCTCATGTTAGTTCATGTAGCCGACCCCACTTATGGGATATTCATTTACACCCGCTTTATATATGCATTGGCATCACGTAATACTATAATGACATTTGCACATTTCTTGAATTTTCTCACCCAAAGTCTTACTACCTAATATTAAAGTTGAAGTAAGACTTTGGGATTCTCAAAACCCCTCAAGTGTTGATCCAAGCTCACATCACCACCAAAAGACCCAATAGACATGGACTTAGCAAATAGAAATCGACGTCCTTGGTGTTTAAAATAATCATAAGCACATGTTCAAAGCATCGTTCACCATTCATTCGCCTTTATATTTGGTGCAAAACTCATCTTTCCAACTACTCGCTTTTAAAAAGCATCAAGATGCCTCACCCAATCATGAATTTCATATCATATATCACTTTGTTCATACCCATTGTGAAAAGTACGTCCATTGAGGATTATTCCATGAGCATGAACGGAAGTTGACTTGTTATCAATTGCAATGTACATCTTACACTGTCCTAAGAATATTAACAAACACTTAAAGCATACACTATGGAATATCACAACAAATAGTCATGATAAGCTCATGAATAAAACCAAATAAAAAATAAAAGGACCAAAAGTTCAACATAAGCCAATATTAACATCTTACATGTTCTCCTAGTTTAAGTCTAAATTATTCAAATTATCAGTAGAAAGTAGTAATTTTGCACATGGGATTTTGGACCAATTGTACTGCCATTCCTCATATTTCACTTAATTTTATTAACTACATTTGACTTTGTACAAGTATACAACAAGTCAATGTAACAATAAAACAAGTTAGTCCAAATAAAAATAAAAAATCAATAAGGATCATAAAATCTAGAAACTTAACCCATGTTAGCAATAATGAATCAAGAGAACAAAATGAATAACCATACAAATTCTCCCACATACAAAGCAATAACAAGGAGCACTGATCCAGCAAAAATAATGAAACTAATTTATTGAATAAAGTTGCATATGTATAAATTGTGAATACTTAGAACTCCCTCTACTCCTAAATGCTCTTCCCATTTTGAGTGTGCACATTTGCTAATGTATTACTTTGATCATTAATATTTATGGTTGCATATAAGTAAAAAAAAATAAAATACATATATATATATAACAATTGAATATGAATAAACTACTCATAGAAACGAATCAAATAAGACTAAAAAAAAGAATAGGAAGGACTATTAAAGAGAGGGGGGAAAAAAAACATACAATTATGAATTATGGAATCAACTAATCAAGAAGTTTCAATAACATACCTAGTATCCTACCAAAAGTTACAACACCCAGAAGGTAAAGCACGTGAATTTGACATCAAATTATATTATATTATATCCATTTCATTTTTATTGTCCCATTTGGAATTTTGTACAACTTTAATAAGACTTTGACTTCAAGATTTAACCTTTCAAAATCACATTTGCTATCTAGTTAAATAAGGCACATATCAATATTGGCAAATATTGCCATAATCAAACCTCAATCATTAACACCAAAGCACCCAATCCCTCTAAAAGGCCAAAACCTATCTTCTAAAATTGTTTATAGAAAAAGGTATAAATGAAAACATTGGGAAAAATACCTATTCGAAATCACATATTGAAACACACAAAAAGAAAAATCCATCAATACTCTTATAGGATTAGTATAATCTAGATTTTTTTTTTAAAAACAAATAACTCTTAAAAAGTAAAGTAGCGTTCTACATAAGAACTTCCAAATAGGGGCTCATTCATGAAGGAAATTCCATAAACACGACTTTACAGGGAAATGTTCTCAAACAACCAAATTCCCATGGAGCAAACCTCCCTCTTTGCACCCTAGAAAGAAATTAAGAAAAACTATAAATGTAAGCTTTTAAAACTACATAAGAATATGACATGTCATAAAATAACTAACCTGTTAGTATAGCAAAGCGAGCATTTGACCAAATCATCAGGAAGCAATTTCGAGACCAATAAATTTGTACACGTTTCAGGACTCACGGTGTTAACAACCAAGTATAAAGCTCAGATTGTTGCTTCATAAAGCTACAAATATTCTACTACAATGGCCACCTTATTAGCGTAAGGTACATCTTTTTAACAGCCTTCACATCTCATCAAACATGAAAATATCCACAAGTTCCATAACTTAACAAAGAATTTTCAATAAAATAACTCAAGACTCAAGAGGTATAAGCTTCTCCAATCTCCAGGCCCCCCACCACAGGAATAAGAATTGATTTCTTAGGACGTTCTGTCTATAATGCTTATAGCAAGAATTATGACAAGCGACTTTAAGATGTATGAGAAAATGGTAATCAGGTTGAACTGTCCTCCAAAGTTTAGAGATGTAAAGCACTTCTATGCAAAAACCTCAGCATTCTCTCGACCAATTTTAATGACTAGCTCAAAATTCACCAACAAAATTCCCATAAAGGATGTAATTTTAACTGTTTCAGGAACCACATTATTTTAACTGCATCAGCCACAATCGATGAACCTTTGTATAACTTCCAAGCTTCCCATGTTACTGCAGAAAATTTATCTGGTATTAGTTGTACTCTTGGAGCTCTTAGAGTGACATCAAACTAAACAACAGTAGGAACTACCTATCCTTCAACACAAAAGGCTAACCTACATTCCTATCACCCAAGTATACACAATTAATAAAACCTAAAAAGCCCCATTGGCATTCACTACTACTATAGTACTTCCGCAAAATTCTAGGGTCAATTTTTTCACTACACAATACTCCACATAAACCTAAATGCCATTTAATTTTCACAACCTTTCCACAAATTAACCGTCCAATAGAGTCCGAAAAGCTACCAAGAAAAGGGTAACAATAAAAATAAAGTTTTTAAGAAAAAAAAAAAAATCTTATTCTAAACGTGGGTCTCACTCAATCACACAAGAACAGCCCCTCCCCTCGAGCCAGAGCCGAAGGGCAGCTGCCCTGGGCTCAGGGAGAAAAGGCCCATTTTTAATAGTTCCTTCCTACAATCAAGATGTATAAGCAACAGCTTGCAACACATTAACAGCCAAATTTGACTCAATTATCAAATCAGGCTCCACAAATCACATTAAAATCTTCTCACATAAGAACATCAACGCAATTTGCACATATCAGAACAAAATCAATCACTATAATCATTCAAAACCTCAGTAATAATCAAAAAGTTCAATTTTTTACATTACAAGAACCCTAAAATTACTATACTGAAAATCAAATCAACTATAAACCCTAGATTGCGAAATTAGAATTCGATAATTTAAAAAGGACAAAAAAAAAAATCTTACCTCGAAGCTGCTTCAATGGAGTAGAGAAAGCTCAGAATCCGCTTCAATGGAGATTAAGAGCACGCGCTTCAATGGAGGAGAGAGATGGAGAGAGAAGGAGGTGCAGCGTAAAAGTGAAAAGCTCCAAAGGAAGAAAAATGAAAACTTTGGAGGAAGATTAGTAATGTCTGCCGTCAGATCTACATTATATCAACGATCATTAATTATTTTCATTAATTATAGGTATTAAGGAAAAATAATCGTAGGATAATACGAGTACAAAAAAAAAAAAAAAAAAAAAAAAAAAAAAAAAAAAAGTATACGCAGTTAATCTGATTAAATTTTAGAAAAAAATTAAATTAAATCCCGTGCATATGCACATTTGTTAAATAATTATAATGACATGTTAAGCCTCATATAGTGTATAGCTAATGGACCAATGTTATAAGCTCTAAACTTTTGCTAGGTTGTATATATATACTTGTTCTAATACAACTACGAAAAATTAATTTCTGACATGGTATCGAAACCTCTATATTCTAAACACTAAAAACCCTAAATTTCTGATTTTTTTTTTCTCTCTACATTTTTTTCTCTACACTAATCTACTACTTGGTTGATTGAGATGGGTGACGATGGAGAACTCGATCCTTTCTCTCCCTTTTACCTTGGCGTCGGTGATCAACCGGAAACTTGATCACTCACGTGGTCTTGAAGGGTGATAACTATCTCGCTTGGTCTAGGGCAATCACTTTGTCCTTGAAATCTAGGTGAATGTTATAAGCCCTAATATCCTGTTAGGTTGTATATATATACTTGTTCATACTTTAATACAACTACGGAAAGTTTAATTCCTGACATGACAATAAAATTTACAAAAAAAATTGTTATAAAATATTATGAATATATATGAAAGGAAATAATTAAACATGTATTAGTTATAATGGGCAACTTGATATTTACAGAAGTTTATCCTAGATTTTGTGTAAAGTAAAAGTCATAATAAAGATACAAATTACAAACCTTATTTTTATGTAACAATAAGTTTTTTTTATTAAGTAGCTTTGGAGGAAAAACTTTTTATATTGTATTGCCAATTGATACTCATATGAAGTAAAGTGAAATAAAATACGAGTAAATTTAGTCCTAGAATAGCCTAAGTTGGGTAGTTATTATAAAATAAAATAATAAGTCAATATCTTTGTTGTACTATGTTAAAAACTTTAGTTCTGTCAAAAAAAATGAAAAAGTTACCAATTGGTTGTTGGTGTAGTGGTGATTGGGACTACATTTGGTAGAGAGGACCCGTGTTCGATCCCTCGCAACAACAATTGGGAAGGGGAATGGAACCTAACCACCTAGAACTGATCCCCGAATTCGGATTAGCCCAAAGGGTGAAGCGGGTAGAACACCAAAAAAAAAATGAAAAAGTTGAATTGAATAGGTGAACAACCGAAAACATAAAACAAAATCTTGAGTAAGAGCATAAATATGAGAGAGGATATAGTGAATCTTTACAAGTTTAAAATATGCCTACAAAGTTATTTATAAATATATATTGTCAATTATGGGTCACTTAATGAGTAAACAACCATTTTCTATTAATAATTAGGTTTCAAACTTATAATTAAAATATATTTAATTAAATTTAGATATGACGTTTTGATTATGCACGTCCGTATAATCTGATCCGATTTTACGATTCAATTCTAAGAGCCCTTTCCAATTCAAAGTAGAATCCCGATTTTAATAACTTTGAAAATAGAATTAGGTAGCAATTGACAAGTAAATATTATTTTGAGCTGCAATTGGCAAAACATTAAATGGATGCAATTGACAAATTTTCTAGCAAAAATATATGTTTAGAATATACTTGCAATCATGCAAGTTGCATCCAAACACTGATTCTAATGTAGCTCGGTAGATGAATGACCGAAAGTTGAGCAACATTTTAGTGTGACAAGATTTTGTCTCACATTTTCACTGTACACAAGTTGAAGAAAAAAAAAAACACACGCGCACAAGTACGTAAAACTAGCTACCGTAAGAAGATCAAGGAGTGGAGGGATGGTTAGTCCCTCCATCTCCCCCGGTGTGACCAGGGTTCGATCCTCACTCCCACCCTTCCTGTGATAGGAGGAATACCCCCGTATCTTACTGTATTAAAAAAATAATAATAAAAAAATAAAAAAATGAAAAAACTAGCTGCCGTAAATGATCAACACCGAGCTTCATAGCTCTCCCAAAAGCATTAAGTTCAGTTAAATTTACATAAATTAACTTCTCTAGCCTTGAGCTCGAAACAGACACCCCAAGAAACCAAAACCAGGATTGGATATAACTAAACCTTTACCATTAATATACAAGTTAGACCTAAAAACCATCATAGCTTCCGACTGGCCTAGCTACACACTGAAGCCAGATCATAACCAACATAAGATTTTATACAACGTTGGCTCAAGTTAGACAAAAACTCAACCTAACTAAACAAGGCCACCAGTTGAGGATGTACCAATGTGCTTATGAAAACGCCAAACCCTGACTCATTCTCTCTCATCTCCTTCCCATTCCTCCTCAAAATTTTGACAAAGTTTCAGCTCTGAAGTTCCCAAAACTAATCCATCATGCCAACAGTAAGTTACTCTGTAGTGCAATCTAACGTTAAAGCTCTTCCACTTGAACTGATACTCCACAGCTACACCGTTTTGTTCTGGTCATGCTATCCTCGTCAAAATTCTCATCATCTGTCAAAAAGACATGTTCGTGATTTTGCGAGTGTATTTTGTCTGAATCATGAATCTTTGTTCCATGGACGTTATCTCGATGCGGCACAGTACTTTCATTCACATATGCAGAAGCAGCACGTGAAGATTTATTCCGAGTCTTCAAGGGATCAGTTACAGTTTTTGATTCCACATTGTTCAAGTAAGTATTGTTCAATCTTTGTCGAACAACCATAGATGATAGAAGTTGGTACCACCGAGAAAGTGCCTGCCTCTCCTCCCTCTTCCTTTCTTCCTCCTCTCTTCTCTGTTCCTCTTCTGCATATGCCTGTCAACCTATATATATTTAGTGACCAGTACTAGCAAACGAATTAAGTATGATGAAAGTGTAACTTTTACCTCTAAAACTGTTTCTTTGAATTCAGTGCAGACCACAATGCCTTCATATACAGGTATTGACCGTCCATTTCGAAATTCAAAACCAACCATAGCAGGAGCAAAATTGATCCCGAGTCTCTTCACAACAGGAACCAACCTGGGAAACCGCAGATGCACAGTGCCTGGAGGGAGGCACTTCTCAGACCAAACGTCCACTTGACCACGCTCATTCTACAAGTAGAGGAATAGAGACCAAGTACAAAACATAAATCCATGATTCCATGAAAACCAGGTGACTCGTCCAGCAAACTCATCAAATCAAGCATTTTTGCAAACATCGAAAACAAAAAAGGATGGAAAAACTCAAAGTTAAACCATTAAATATCATACACCACAAAATCTGTAAAAATACACACATTCCTACCTTAGGCACAATTCCATTTACAGCAGGAGGCAAACACAACGGTTCAGTTTGCCACTTTCCAAACAGAGAAACTTCATCTGACCCACCCTCACAGAAATCTTCTACTTCAATAGTTTGTCCTCTACGATTCTTAGTGCTACTCTTCACCACCTTTCAGAAAAAAGAACGAATTTGTCAGAAAATACCACAAAGTCCAAAAATTATGATATTGCAAACTTACCATGAAATTATAAAATAATACCTTTGCAGGAAGCTCACTTTCCTTAACTTGCAGCCCCTCACGGAGCCATCTTTCTTTTGTGTGGAGTATTTGCACGCAAGTTCGAGGATAAACAGTGTGACCAGAACAGAAACCAAGTACCGGACCTCTTGGATGCAGAGTCTGATACTTTGTAAGCCATTTTTCCATAGCATACAGTGGATGAGTTCTATAAGCCTGCATTAGCAAACCACGTTGTCCAAAAGGGACAAAACAATGTGAGCATACATTTAGCAAATGTAAATAGCCAATAACATCAATCACAGTCACAATACCTGTTGATTGGTGGGAAGCGGTTCAGTTAATGCCCTCGTTGCCAACTCCATGTCCTCAAGACTGCTCCTACTGTCAACCAAATCTGTTGACTTCATATCTTTGTGATGCACAGGGACCATTCCACCAGTTGCACGAGACTCCAACTTCTTCAACGGAGCTAACACAGCATCCCACCATTCTAAATAAATTCTTTTTGGGGATATTTTGTACCATTTTTCACAGTACCTGCACTACAAACATACGCATTCAAAATTCATAAGTGCCTAGAGAATATTCAAGCTGTAATTGAAGATTTCACTTACAATTCCACTTTCTCAATAGTTAGTAGTCTTAATACTCAATACTTAAAAATTTAAATAAAAAAAAAAAGAGCTTGCGACTCTCTTAATTATCATAAATGAACTGAAATTAACTGTTACATACACTGTATAAATATGAGATCAAACAATAATGAAAACCAAGAATGGAATGATTTCCAAGGTTAAATATCACCCTCTATTATGGCTCAGTCAGTCAAAAAGCCTAACTGATTCACTACAAAAAAAAAATCTTATGTTTACAAGAAGTAGTGACTAGTGACAAGATTTAATGAAACAAGCACTTAATTGATGGGTCCAAACCCAGAAAACATAGATTAAGTCGAAAAAATTCCAACAGGATCCATAGGTTTTCCATCTTTAAACTAAATATTCAACATTCATATAAGCTTTATACAGAAAAGGTCGCACATAATCAAGGTATAAAATGAAGAATCAAAGACAAAAAAGCCCAGCTGCATATGTCAGAATCAGAAATCAGACATAACAAAATTGAAAATTATCTTCAGAGATAGACAACCTGCGTGTGACATCTTTAGCCCCATGTCCAGCAAAGGCAACAACATAGCTCAAAGACTTCTTGCATGCAGTAACCGCAGCCTCTACCTTCAGCTCTCCATCAACTATAGAGTTAATAGCATCAATATGGACCCACTTTCCCGTCATATTTTCACCACAGCAATAGACCTCCGCCCAATGTAATGGAGCTCCTACTTTTCTTGATCCAATTGCAGTAGATATAGCATGGGAGGATGAGGGAGATTCTTCAGTGATTCTCTTTATTCTTTTGAAGGGAGAAAGGGAAGCTAATGGACTAGTAGGTGAGCCACTAGTAGATGCTTCAGATCTCCTTCCGGGAGCTACCAGTGCTGTGGCAGACATAGCCATTTGCAACTGCATCTCAAATTCCAAGTCTCCTTTCTTCCTTGGGCACTTGTCCTCCTCAGAAGCATTCTGTGTCTCATTAGCTGATAGATCTGGCTTTATCAACTGAGTAGAAGCAAGTGAATCTTTAACTTCAATATTTGTTGGCAAGCATCCATGCTTAGCTTCAGAGACTGAGGTAACGAATGTACCGTGGATATTTCCATGGGAAGCAGATGATTTTGTACCTGTGCTCATTTTACTAACCATAAGTGTCGAAGAGTTAAAGATATCTTTTCTCTCCCTGCTGCTTGCATTATATGATTGCTCATTTTCATCAACTTCTGGTTTCAAGGAAGATACATCCAACACTGACACAAACCTGGAAAAACAGAGCTTTATTGATAAACAAATCCTATTACCTGAGGTACCATTATTTCTAAAACTCAAGCACAGGTTGCACAAGCAACTCGTTTTTAGCTTCTTTCATTGTTTCGGTTAAATTGTTCGTCTGGAGACTAATATACAGTGACAAAAGATAAAATGTACTTCAAATGAGGATATGCACAGTTAAATGCATAGCACAAAAAAAAAAAAAAAAAAAAAAAAAAAAAAAAAAAAAAAATTTGCAGATCACCTTGTTGTAAGATTTAGAGCTCTAAATAATGATACAGACAGCGCTGCAACCTGTGACAAAACTCCAGTTATAGGGAATGCATAGAAGTTCATGAAGAAAAGATTAATAACATAAGCATTGTTATACTTTCAACCAAACTCAAGACCAAAACAGCAAGCACAACAATGACTGATGATATACTCTCCAACCAGTACAATCCAATTTATACTTGTTAGTTGTATATTCAGTAACAAGTATAACACATGCGATATTCTGTCACAATAATGTTAAGATCTAAATAACAAGAAATGGAATTGATGTTTCATTGGCAAGTATATCAGCCCATCCATTCCAATCTCATGCTCACAGCATCTATCATGTCACAAACAAAAGCAGAGACATAATAATAACTAAAATGAGCCAACTAAGTCCTTAAGAACCTCTTCAGGAGTCCCTCCTTGCGCTTCAAGAGCGTATGCTAGAGCTGATTGAAATGGTTTTTCTGCACTGCTAGGGCTCCTCACTTTGAAATTCTGATGAAACTGCAAAATTTTATCAGGAGAATCAATGAAAGTCTTCAGCATAGGATGAGTAGCAAACAGTTGGAACTTTAAAGCATAAACATGTCATTTACCCAAGAGACAAGAGGAGTCAAAGCATTAGCAGTAAGCTTGCCAACTTCTGATAACTTCAGTAAGTGTGGTGGTAAAAGTGAAAGTAAAGAAGCCTGCCACAACATTCAATTTCAAAAATCAAGTACAAGGGCCAAGAGTAACAGAAAGCTATAGCATGCATTATGCAAAGTATAAAGAAGTAAAAAAGAAGAAAGACTTAGATAAGCTCCTTGGAAGCTATTGTTGATGTGTTGACTGTGTTCTAATTTCTACACTTCCACTAATGGCAATCTTCTAAGTAAAAAAATTGGGAAGTAGAATATTTTTTTAGAGAGGGGCAAGCCCCATAAAATAGTTTTCTATGGGTCTATTAAAAACATACTCTTTCCTCGCTCATTTTTCAGTGTTACAGTGGTAGGATAAGACTGCATACACGGGAACTTCCCTAGACCCTGCATATCCAGATTAGATTGAACGAACTATCCTAGCAAATTATGATAATATACTCCTTTTACTTATGATTGTATAATGGTTTATATTCCTACTTTAAGCTTCCTATACTACTCTAACTCTTCATCGCACCTCAAGTACCCGTGTAATAATTCATTTTGGGCCAAAATCAAGTATTTTTTTTTAAAAAAAATAGCCAAGTACACGTGCCTGTGTAGAACATGAGTACCCGAATCCAAGTAACATAGTTAACCTCTTTATCATCTAAAGGGGCAGTTAGCAACCCACTCATAACTTCATTATAGCAATAAACCAATATTATCACCTGAATAAGAGGATCATCACAGGCAACATCAATTAACCGCCCTCTTGCAATCAAACAAAGCAAATGAACCTTATGCACAAGCTCTGCAAATTCCTGAAAATCCAAACATCACCAACAAAATTGTTTCCCCCATTAAAAAATATTCAAAAAAAGTGCAAATTTCATAAAATTCGAGGGCAATGAGATTTTAATAATTTGAATTCACCTTGTCTTCAGCAGTAGCTCTTCGAATACGCTTCTTTTTTGGCGATTCAGGCAAAGCGTCAAATTCAATGGTAACCCCATTATTTTGATTAACATTATTGTTGTTAGAACATGAAGAAGATGGAATGCAACCTTCTTCCCAATCGACTTCATCGTCTTGAATTTGAGGGTTTGGATGTTCGTCATTTTTGTCGGAATTTTGACGGAATTTGAGAGGTTGATTATCCCTAATTATATCTACACTCTGGAATTTGGATTTTCCGGTGTTTTTCTTCCGTTTAGTGCTGGATTTTTCCATTCCCGCCACAATTATGGTAAAATCCCCAAATTTGAATAAACCCTAAGTTTTGTTTCCAGAATTGCAGTTGGTTTATGTCGGTTTGTGTGTTTCAGGGTTTGGCGCAATCTTCTTGCAGTTCCCCCATTCCCCAATGGCCCAATCCCTACCACACAGTACACACATAACTGTCCTTTTTTTCAGGGAGTAGGTCTTGTTTTATTTGTGTTATGGATTTTGTAATGAAATTACTTACTCCCTACGATTTTTATTAGTTGTAATTTTGGAATATTTTATATCTTATAAATAATACCCTAAAGTTACAATTAATAAAAATTGGAGATAGTATTATTAATTGACAAACTAAACTTATTTAAAATTAATTTCTGTTAATATTGATTTAACTTTAAACTTATGTGATGTAAAGGTTTGGGCATATTAGTTGGTTTATGTTCACTTACAGAGTACTTTTTTTTTTTTTACTAAATATATGATGTACTTCATATATTGGTGCCGCGTAATAGAAATGACTAATTAACATATTTTTGCGATCAAAGTACTTGCTAACGAACGCCTCACGGTGTTAAATAACTAATTGATTAGAAATATATTTGTCAAATCCACATGTCAATCTGTATAATTAATATGTACTCCATTCGTATTTAACTGAGTAAAACGTTTTGACTTTTTACACTATTTATTTAAAGTTATGTATTGGCATAATCAAAATTTTGTATTGACATATGTGAACAAGAGAAATATTTCACTTATTTAAATACGAAAGGAATGAATTTTAAATTACTCGTAGTTTATTCAATTAGTTCTTGCAAATTACAAAAACATTTTTAGATCACAAACATTCGTGAGTTTTCCAAACCAAATCCAACATTGTACTATAGAATCATTGAAGCTAAACAACCCGTGGTAACACCATGGTCCACTCACCAATAAAAATCCAACACTCATCAAATCATAATAATCTTACCTCATTTTTTAATTTCCCTATTTATTTACACCTTCCCCACTTCACTCCCATTTTTATCACTCCATTCCATTCCACTCCACTTCACTTCACTCACCAAAATTACCATAATGCCCTCACCGCACCACCACCTTCTCCTCCTCCTACTTTCTTTCTCCACCTTCGTCCACCACTCTCTCTCCTCCTCAACTCCCTTCCTCAACATTTGCAAAGCCACTCAATATCCTCTCACGTGCCAATCCACCCTCCTGGACTCCAACCCGAACACGACCCGTAACCCAAACCCGACCCATATCATCCAAACCACACTTTCACTTTCATCCCACCACATCCAAACCGCTCAATCATTGGTCCATGACATACTCCGTACATTCCCTAACCACCATAACCGTACACTAGCCTCGCGTACGTGCCTTGATTACCTCACTCTCTCCTCCTACCGTACACGTATTTCCTCTAATGCCCTCACATCACGTGATACTCTTCATGACGCACGTGCATGGGCTAGCGCTGCGTTAACTTACCAGTATGACTGCTGGTCTGAGCTTTCTAACGTCAATGGGACGCGCGTGGTTGACAAAACGATGTCGTTTTTGAACTCTACTCTAATGCAGACTACTAGTAACGCGCTAAGTCTTCTACACGCGCTGATCAACTATGGGGAGGATACGACGTCGTGGCGTCCTCCTTTAATGGAGCGTAACGGGTTTTGGGAGAGAGGTAGTGGGTCCGGGTCAGGTCTTGGGTTTGGTTTAGGGAGAGTGGAGTTGAGGGGAAGGGTAAATGTGACGGTTTGTAAGGAAGGAAAGGCGCGTGGGTGTTACGCGCGAGTGCAAGAGGCGGTGAACGAGGCACCAGCGTGGTTGAAGGCGAAGGGGAAGGATAGATTTGTAATTTACATTAAGGAAGGGGTGTATAAGGAGAATGTGAAAGTGCCCTTAGAGAAGAGGAATTTGGTGTTTTTGGGTGATGGAAAGGGTAAAACGGTCATTACAGGGTCAGTAAATACAGGGATTATGGGGATCAGTACGTATAACACAGCTACTGTTGGTAAGTCTATTCGTGTTCTTTACTGCATTACTAATTAAAGTCGAATTTTTTACTTAGACATTGATATTTGTTTTTTGCCAATTAAAACTGACTATTACTTATTTAATATCATCTATTATCTCATACAGAATAGTTATGCAAGTATTGAATGTTACTCTTATAGTCTTGTCCGAATTAAAATTTTCATTGATAGATATTAATGATTGAAGATAAGAAGTATATAAGATGTACATTTGGATAGTCTAATGCATGATATGTTAGTAGTATATTAGGAGGGAGTGAGGGAGACTCTAACCAACTAAGCTATCTGCCTATCCCTCACACTCTCGATGGTTCCTAGCATGTTATACGTAGTTTGTAGAAGTATTGTACTAGACCACTAAGACCATTATACTTGAATACTTGATAGTGTATGTAATACTGCTACTAGCTTGCTCCTTTGGTCACGGGCTTATTCATAACTAGGGAACAGGGATGGAAAGTTATAGATATAAGATAAAGTAGTTTAAATGCATTAATAAATTCTAAAGGACAAGTATTAGCTAGAAGAGGATCACATAGTCAAAAAGTGTTGAAAATAGGTGGCATCTTGTGGGACATCAATCCGTAACAAAAGCCAAAAGGTAAGGTTAATTATACTTCCCTGTCTTTTTCAATTAATTATGTTTGAATTTTCAATATACTTGTAATAAGTGATTGTTCATGAACTTATTTTAATCGTAATTTGAATATTGGTACCCCTGATGTTTTAAGAAACTTATGAACTTATGTTTGCGTAGGTGTTAAAGGAGATGGGTTCATGGCGAGTGGGATAACATTCCAGAACACGGCTGGCCCAAATGCACACCAAGCAGTAGCATTCCGATCAGACAGTGATTTTTCCCTTGTCGAAGATTGTGAGTTCTTAGGTAACCAAGACACCCTTTATGCACACTCCCTTAGACAAGTTTACAGATCATGCAGCATGGAGGGCAATGTGGACTTTATATTTGGCAATGCAGCTGCCATCTTCCAAGATTGCACAATTCTAGTCAGGCCGCGCCAAGTGGACCCCTCAAAGGGCGAGAACAATGCCATCACAGCTCAAGGGAGGACGGACGCTGCTGAGGCTACTGGGTTTGTCTTTCTAGGATGTCACATTAGCGGAACCAATGAGTACATGAAGCTATGGCGAGAAAATCCCAAGGTCCACAAGAATTACCTTGGAAGGCCTTGGAAGATGTACTCGAGGACAATGTTCATACAATGTACAATGGAGGATCTTATATCACCTGAGGGGTGGATGCCGTTCAGGGATGACTTTGCATTGTCTACTCTTTACTATGGGGAGTTTGGGAATAAGGGACCAGGGGCTGATTTGTCTAAGCGCGTTAAGTGGAGTAGCAGGATTCCTGAAGTGCACCTGAGTGCATATTCTGCTCAAAATTTTATACAGGCTCGTGAATGGAGTTCTAGCTTCTGATTCCTTGCACGAGGAAGAATGAACTAGTTGGTGCTCGGCATTTTCCTATATATTACTTTGTATAATCTATTGACTGATGCATATAGATTGGACTTGCCATGTACACACCAATTTGAGTACTCAGATATGAAAAAAGATTACACTATGATCAATGAGCTCAAAATTCTTATATGAGTGCTTGTTATCAGATTTTAATATCATAGTTTAGTCCTGCAAATTGTGCAAATTAACTACAAGGCAAGTATTTCAATTCCCTGCTCTGATTTAAGTGACTTCGTTTTAAGGTATGCAAAATCATGGTTTACTTTGTAACATGTTCAATGGATGGGGTTCACATTGTCACGATTCTCATCTTCCTGACAACGTGACACATTGTTTTGTCAAAAGGAATTGACTAAGGCTAGTGAAGCTTGATTGTGATAGTGCACTTTGCTCCAGTGCTATATATGGTCATTTATTGGAAGGCACCACAAGGTTCATTTACGGATGGTTTTTTCAAAGGTATGCTAATCTTCTCTAACTGTATGTTGAACGTTTTCATTCATTGCTAAATGTGGAGGATCATTATAAAAATGAGATCAAATGAATTAGCTACCAATTTCCTACTGTGATTTTGATGTACTGAGGATGACTGTTACCTAGAATATAGACCTTTGTAGTAAGGGATTGTTTTGCACATAAAGTACTCAAGATATAGACAGCTTAAACCTGTTTCTATGAGGTAGGTGATTCATTGCCTTTGATCTTTGGATTTCGAGCAAGGATTCTTTAAGTCAAAGACATTCTTCAATTTCAACAACTAATTTGCATAGGTAGCTGTCAATCTTTGACAGTGCAACATGTTAAGTGTAGTTTCTATTTTCCTTCAAGATGGCCGGATTAGAAAGTCTAATAATTTGAGGCTTATTTTGGTCGAAACTCATGCTTCTAGCCAAAAATGTCCTTAATTTTAATGAATTTGGGTTAAACAAATTAGATGCTAGTTCATGAAATTCTGAATCCCATTCCAGAAGAAAACTGAAAAAAAAATAAATAAATAAAAATTGACTGCTGATTTAATTTCTGAAACATCTGCTCTGTATTTCTGTAATAGTGTGGAGGTTAAGAGGCTAAATTACTATAGTGAAGAGCTTTATGCAGTTTGTATAGATTCTATAGCTAAACCAAATCCAAAGATGAATCCAAGTAATCACGGTATTTTCGGAATTCAAAATAAAAAGGGTAAAAATTGATCAAAAATCCTGGTTTAATGCAAGGAAGAAAGAGGAGTCACTTTAATAGCAGGCGATGCACGAGCAATAGGTTCATCATCAGTCCAGTTTGTCTCACCCCAATGCTTCAACATACCCTTCCAGTTGCACAATTTATCAATGCACTTCTTCATCCTCTTATCTTTAACCGCGATCTTCCAATGCCCATCACTGTAATTCCCTTTCTCAGCCTGCCTTCGATCCCACTCAATCTGAGCCTTCTGCTTTGTTCTCAACAGACAGAACTGCTGAAGGTTCTCCGGCATTGCATCATGCACTTTCCACCACCTTGCATGGGCAACATCACTCGCGAACTCCTGTAAGAAATCTGTATTCCAATTACAGTCATAGTCCTTATGGCATAACCACGGCTTGATACCAAGGTAGTGTAGCACATAAAGTATAGAGGGTTCTGCCCCAAATAGCCTAGTCTTCATTTGCTTCTTCTCTTCCTCGTCGCCTATCCAAAAATGCTTCAAAAAATTCATATGCCTAGGAATTCTATGCCACCAAGTAAAAATTTCATTAAGGTATCCTTGGTCTCCTCCATTATATGATTCTATTTCATTTATATGATCCATAAGTAGCAGAAAAGTGCAATTCGAGGGTTCTATGACCATGACTCCCGAGTTAAAGAGAGTAGCATTGTTTCCAGTGGCTGATATTTCCGGCATGCTGAAGAGGAAATCCATGTTCCTTAGGATGAGTAGATCAGCATCAATGAAGATGATCTTGTCGTAATCTGTCAGTTGCCATAACCGGAACTTGCTGTAGTTCCACTCATTGTAGGCATCTTTTTCAGCTTTTGGATTCCTTATCCTTTGGATGGTCCTGATCTTCCATCCTGCTGCCTCAAGACCACTCCGATGGTAGTCACTGATTGACTCGTCGACCAAGATGACTAAGTCTCTAGTAGACCCTACCATTCGGATGCTCTGAGCAGCTGCTATGGCACCACAGACATAGACATGAGCCGAATGCAGGATTGTTGCATATGCTTCCCTCCTTGGGTTGCCCCTGTATGACCTCTCTGTGTAAGGACAAAAAAGTTGTGTATTGCGACATTATTAAAATTAGTACTGCATTCAGAATTCGATGGCGCGATACAAAAAACATTAATACAAATGTCTGCATCATACCTTTGTCTTTGAGAGGAAGAGCAAGTTCACAGGAACCAACAGGAAGCTGAAGTTTTTCTCTCAACTTATTCAAGTTTGGCTTATATAACCATGCATTTCCTTCATGTTTTACTAATTCCTTACAAGTAAACAGGTTCGGTATAGGGAAGCAGTTAGTGATGAAAAGCAAGTGAACAGGGTAATTCCCTTTGGCTGAAGTTGCAAGTCCAGCTGCTGCAAGCTGTAAGTGCAACCGAGCAACATCTCTTGACCAATTCTGCTGATCAACCCGGCAAGGAAGCTTCACAACAATGAGGTCAAGGCGTTTCCTTGGTGGCTCGAGCTTTGGAAGTGAAGGGCAAAGTGGTACATCCTCCTCTTCCTCCTCGTCGATCCATTCAGGATACAACGATTCCCATGTTACGTTTTCTTCAGCATAGTCTAGGTTCAGGGCAGTATGTTCAAGTTCAGGAATTATCTGGTTCCAGGATTTTACTTCATCTTTGTTGAAGTTTAAAAGGCCAATTGAATGGTACTCTTTTTCATTGAGTTTGTCAAGAACTTTTGAGATGTCATCCCAATTAATTTGTAAATGTGATGTGTATCTAGGATCAGTATTACCCCATATCCATCTTTTCATCAATGTAGGCCTGCATTAATTCAGAAATATACATTAGCTTATCTAATCAAAATCCTCTAAAGCGAGTCATAAGACTGATAGTATAATCTCTATTTGACAAGCCCTTTTTAATTGTGAGGGATTGAGACAATGTGACAACTTTCTCGAGACACTTGTTTTTAATCACGAGACATGTGGACATACCGGGGGATGGAGTGTGACGATAAGTGGTGATGACCACAAAAGGATGGAGAGTGCAAAAATATAGTGATGAAAGTAACAGAGACAATGATGAGCAAGGCAAGTTTCAAGAGTGGTAACTTGGTCCTCACACCCTTGTTATTGTCTAGGATAGATGTATTGGATAGTTTCTCGGTATCTTTTGCTTTGCTTCTGTGCAACTTCCTTTTGTAAATGTCTTCACTGTTAAGCAAAAAAGGAACTTATTTAAGACATTGATATAGTAAGATTAAGCTACATTAACATTAGAAAGAATAATTTCAATCAACTCATACTAATAAGCAAGTAAAAATATCACTTTTGATCATTTTAATATTAATCATTTCTTTAAATGCAGAGGTCAGCTAATTAAATGGTAAAGTTTACTAAAGTCTTTGGGTGTCAACGACACCTAGAAGATATTAACATTGTATCATGCTTGTCAACTAGGAATGGATCGTCAGATCGATAGAGCAGAGAGGAATATAAGTAACATTGTAGTATTTTCTTTTAATGATAAAGATAGGAGCGTAATTATTTTATGCATTCGAGAGTGTGGTACATGTTAAACAGTGCATTAGATATTATGCAAAAAGGAATAGTGAGAACATTATAGATTGGAAAACATAAAGTTTAAAAATAACAAGATTATATATATCTCAGATGCACAATATAACAAATGGAGGGATTAATAGTTACTTAGTTAGGAATTATTAATAGTTAATAGTTACAAAGAGGATCGGGAGAGTGTTAATTATGTGATGTATAAACTTGCTTTAAAACACCTTTTAATGTGTAGTATAGATGCAAAAGATGTAATTGGGACTTATGAGTATGATTAGTTGGAGTAGAAATATCGTAAGAAGAAGAGGGTCATTATCTTAGGGAAAACATTCAACTTCTGAGTTGTCATCGACCTTACTGTTTTTGCTTTCAATATACTCATTGGATTTATATTGCTTTATTATTGCCTAACTTAGTTTCTACTCTTTAATTAACTATTAACTATAATTCTTAATTAGCATAACCAGTTTGTTTAGTACCATAAAGTGCAAGCAATCATAGGACCACATTACATAAGCTAATTACTACTACTTAACCATAATTTGGATTTTTAAAATGATGATTTTGCTTAATTATATATATGTACTACATACGCATTATTGATCCAATTTTTAAGATGTAAAAATTAAAGTAGCTAGGGTTTGTAAGAGTTGCTTGAATGGGTTAACATTAAATCCATCAATCAACTTCGGTTCATTCACTCCGTAAGAAATTAATTGATGTATGTGACAAGAAAAAAGTACATAGTACACACATTATTTAGCGATGTTGCATTTTTAGATTAACACAGAATTAGCAATTTACAAAATGATAAGTATTGAAATTTCTTTACCCAAAAAAAAAAAAAAGAAAAAAAAAAGAGAGATTTTAAAGGGGGAAATCTCAAGTTAGGTTAGCATGCAATGTAAGCATGTACATAGTACATTAAAATATCAAATATTTCGTACTTCAATTCTTAGTTAGTTTTACTCTCTTTATGCTTACATTTGAATTTAAGGACTACTTATAAGCTATATATCGGCTGGTTTTTTAAAATAAGAATTATTACTCTGTAGTATTTTGTTTAATAAGGATTATACATTTTGTATTGTAAATAATGTTCACTTATTTTTCTAGTTACCTTATTGTAAGTTTTAGTGTCTAGTTTCACTAAAGTTGGAGTTCCATGAAATCATTAATATACAAACTGAAAACATAAGCTAGATGAAAAAAAAAGGATAAAAGCCAATTAAATAATTATAGCAAGTCATTTAGTAAGTAGAAAAAACTCACATTGATACGTAGGACCTTTGTCTAGTCTCATTTGGAGTAGTAAATGAACCCATTTTTTTTTTTTGCTTCTCTTCCTCGATTTTCCTCCTTCAAATGCAAATCTTAAACTTTTACTAAACAACTATAT